TTGAAAAGTATGCATTTTTCCCCTCAACATTTCTTATTTGTATATTCATAAATGCATTTAAAACATTAATCTCATAACATTATTTATTGCAGTTGTAATTATTGTTATTTGCAGTGTAAATTATTTAATCTGACTGGTAGCAGCCCTATAGTGTATATTTAATTTATTGATAAATTGTAATAATTTGACATGTAAGATTATGCATACATCTAAAAAGGTTAAAAATAGGCCTTTGTAAAGGTAAATATGCAGATTTAAGTATGTAAAAGCTGATAGAACACTGATGAAAATATTGCTTCAGAATAAATTGTTTACTCCACCAAAAAATCTCAGTGATGCAGTTATTTTGTGGGGATATTTTGTATGGAATATTGTCTGCTGACATGAAAAGTTCACTGTATATCATAGTAATAAATACCATTTATTACAGCATTGATATTTTGTTTTCTTTTTAATTTATACACATTAAATATTACATGTATGTAATAAAATGTGTATTTCCATTACAGGTTTAGGTCTTAAATTTCATATAAGGTGGTATTAAAAAGGTCTTAAAAAGTCTTAAATTTAACTTGTTCAAGTCTGCAGAAACCCTGTTTTAGTTGATCACTTCATCCCGATGGAGAACAAATGTTGTTTATACAAAGATATACAGTTTCTATTTGCACAGAATATTATTCTGTTCGAGCATGAAAATTGTTGTAAAACCTCTGTATAGCAGAAGAGAGATTGCACATTTCCGCCTTTTTGATAAATCTAGTGTTGTCTTCCCACAAAATATATTTAATTTCTATCATATTTTCATATCTGTCGTTTCTTAGCTCACATTGAGGCAATGGTCCTCTGATGACACCAAGAGGTGGTGTCAAAAACTGCAGCGTTGCAATTCAATCAGCGAATTTCTGTGGATTTTGACAATTGAATGCTATTTCTAAATTTCATATGTAAACCATATTTTTACATTTTCTTTAGAAAATGTGAGCGGGGCTTACTGAAATGCATTTTCCATTTAAGATAACCCATATACGGCATGTACAAAAAAAAAAAATTTTTTTTTTTTTAATAAATAAATGCTTTTCATGTCTTCCAGAAGTGATCAGGCCAGAATAAGTCGCAGTGTGTAATCACTGATACTGAATCAAGCAAATAAAGAAAAACATTCCACATGATTTGAGGTCATTCATATCTGTAGCACAAATGGTGTGAGGGGAATTACACAACTACAG